TCCCGCGCCCCCTTCCCGGCGCCCCGAGCGCCCCAAGGCTTGCTGGACGCCGCGTTGGCAGACGCGCCCTCTCTGCTAGGAAAGGAACCTGTCCGCCGCTCGTGGGGCCCCCGCTGTGCTCGTTCGGTGGGACCCGGTGCCCTGCGCAGCGGCGGCTGAGGAGACGGGGGCTCACCATGGCCACGAACAGCCCACGGAAGGAGCCAGACTGAGAATGACGGTCGGAATAATCCTCAAGTGACGGGCAGGGCGGGCCCGGGGTGCAGTGCAGGACTGGGGGCCGCGCCTCTTAGTAAACGGAGGAGAGCCGGTGGCGAGCGACGGTGCCGGCCGACGACACCGGTCAGATTCCGACTCGACGAGCAGCGGTCGTGAGGCGGCCGCCGCCCAGCTGGACACGGGGCCAGGACGCCGCCGGGGCGCCTCCAGACGCAGCCGGTCCCCGCTGGGAAGCCGCCCCTTTCGCCCGCCACGTGCGCCCAGGGGCCCGCCGTTCCCATTTCCACTCCCCCTCCCTTCTACTGTATTGTGCCCGCGGTCACAGGTGTGTGCACCAGCATTGCACGTTCTAGACCCAATGGCCAAGGGCATGGGGGGTTCCTTCTTTTTCAACCCTGACCTGAGGATATGCTCCCACTGACCCGAGAGAGAGGAGAGACATGGACGCGCGAGAAACACGGGCCCGCTGCGCACGCCCGCCCGGCCTGGAATCCCACCCGCAGCTTTCGGCGCCCAGGACGATGCTCCAGCCAACCGAGCCACACCGGGCGGGCCCCACGGTGCGTTTTGATGGAGGTGGGATGGGGAAAATACTGGTTCTGTGAAAATACCCCTTTTCCATTAGGGGCATGCTCATTCGGCCCTTATCTTTATTTTCCAGTAAATTATTTTGCTTTTAACAAAAAAAAGAACATAAAAAATACTTGCATACCTTGTTCGATTGGAGAATTCTGGTTTCCATTTATCATTGAAAAACCAAGGACAATTTTATAACTGTTTTGTATGTAGCTGATACAATAGGGCACTCTGTTTTTAAGTAGGAACAAGTTACTCTAAAGAAATAAATCCTAGGTAATTTTCCCCAAGACAAGTGTCTTGTTGTTTCAATCAACTTACATTTTAAAAATTTTGAAAGTATCAGAATTTATGGTGAATAGTGGGAAGACTCCACCACCATTCTATATGCTTCTAAGATTTGGCTTATACTTAATATCCAGGTCACTTTCTTTTATTCATATACATGAATGTCTCTACTATATATTCAACAATACTTTTCTTACTCTTATAAACACAGACACATACTCCAAGTAAGAAAAACAGGACAGACTTATGGCCAGTCGCCATGCAGACACTCTGCTCTAAGTGGGGGGAGTTCTGAGTAACTCACAGTTGCCCTGGTCGGGGCAAGTGTGGGAGGCAACCAGTTGATGTCTCTCTCTCTCTCTCTCCCTTCCACTCCCTCTGAAAAGCAATGAGTAAAAAAAAAGTGTTTGTGGAAACTGCCGTGTGAATTTTTTTTTAATATGTCTTTATTGATTTCAGAGACATCAGCTGCCTCCTGCACACCCCCGACTGGGGATTGAGCCGGTAACCCAGGCATGTGCCCCGACCCAGAATCGAACCTCGATCTCCTGGATCCTAGGTTGAAGCTCAACCACTGAGTCACGCCTGGCCAGGCTGCCTTGTGAATTTTCTATAGAGAACGTTTAATTACATACTTTCACATGGACTTAGATATACTTTTAAATTGTGTTCTTAAAAGAAACTACATATAGTAATAGTTTAAAATTCCTTTTTTTTAAAAATGTGGAACTTTTTAAAAAACAGATATAATTGATACATAGCGTTAGTTTCAGGTATACAACATGATTCTATATTTGTATATATTGTGAAACGGTGACCACAATAAGTCTAGTCAACATCCATCACCACAGTTATAAATTTTTTTCTTACGATGAGAACTTCTAAGATCTACTCTTTTAGCAACTTTTAAATGTGCAATACAGTACTATTAATTCTTGTCACTGTGCTGTGCATCACATCCCCATGACTTAATTGTTTTGTAACTGGAAGTGTGTACCTTTTGACCCCCTTCTCCCATTTTGCCCACACCCTACCCCCACCTCTGGCAGCCACCATCTCTTCTCTGTATCTATAAACTTGTTTTTTGTTTGTTGTTTTTAGGATTCCACATAAGTGAAATCATACGGTATTTCTCTCTCTGATTTATATCATTAGCATGAAACCTTGAAGATCCATCCATGTTGTTGTAAATGGCAAGATTTCCTTCTATGGCTGAGTAATAGTCCAGTATGTATATATATGTATTATGTGTGTGTATATATGTATATATGTGTGTGTGTGTGTGTGTGTGTGTGTGTGTATATATATATATATCATACTTTCTTTATCCACTTGTCCATCAATGGACACCTAGGTCACTTCCCAAAGGGCTTTCTTAAACATTAGCCCTATCTTCTCACAGTTCTATGTCTCAAAGCCATTCAAATTAAACAATGCACAACAGATTATTAATAATTATGAACATTTATTAAGTACCAAGAGTATACTGCAAAGGTTGCTATATAAAAACATAATTAGCAACATAGTGTCCCTGCCATTGAGCTTACAATCTAAAATGAAATACAATAAAAATGCTGTAAGCCTACCTTGACATTTCCTGAACATAGAAATGGCTATTTTGGCAAACAGTGAGGCAAAATGACCTATGCTTTCAGGTGCAGTGTTAATAACCTTGAACATGATCCAAAGAATGTTTTCTTTGTATCCAAACATTTTTCCCAATTATACTAGGCTTGGTTTAAAAGAAAAAAAAAAAGGCACTTAGAAATTCAGTTAAGAAAAATGAATTATTTAAAACTGCCTTGTTGGGCTTTAAACAAAGAGATGCTTACTCGCCTGAGGTTTTTCACAGCTAGGAAAGCTTCACAAGAAACATTATGAACTAAACCGAGTTTGACTACTATTCCAATACAACTTCAACACTTTCCTCCTTTCCCACCTGTACCGGCTCCAACGACAGCCCTACTAAGGAGGGAAGTACTGTCTCTAGATAAAATACCCAAACAAGTCGAACTTCCAGGAAATAGCAATTCATATTTTAAGAGAAGAGTGAGCAGAGAGAGCACCGGGACCTCTGGCTGCAGGACAGGCCTGGCTATGTAAGGTATGTAAACAAAGCAGCTCAGTTCAGTGCACACATCTTCAAAGTGATTAAAAATATAGGTCCGTTGTTTGCTTTTCTGGTATAGGCATATTTTAGAGTTAGCATCAAGACCCTACACTGCAAACCCTGTACTCTTTTGCCTATATCCATAGTATAATATTTCATAAATACTTTCAAGGTTTTCATTGCTGGTCATAAATCAGCTGACAAAGGCACAATGAAGGGATTTTGATTCTTTCTGTCAGATGCAAAGACTGCTTTAAACTTATGAACACATGCAGTCTTAAACTATACCTTTAATTATTTTCAATCATTTGTAATTCTTTGAACTCCAGAAGAACACTAAAAATAAGTTATTGGTTATTAGTTATCTGAAACCTGAAACAGAATCTACCCTGTAGAGCACATGCACACACTTTTTAATACATGCAGACAAATATTTTAATGGCAGAGTGGTAGCATCATGAGGTGATATTTTTAATGGCAAACAGTATTTTAGCAATTTTTGTAAAAAATAGTAATTTTCCCCTTAGAAGTCCATCTTGGCAACTTTCTTTTAAATGATAACACAGCAGCAGCGACATTTAAATAATGTTCACAACTAAATGTTTTGTATACAAGTTTATCAAGAATGGTCCAGAAACTTCAAAATAAAACCTTGTATGAAGCAGAATAATTCATTACTTTTGACCTAAAATTGACCCTTAAACATCCCTCTTCCAATTTAAGTATCATTTATACATCTTACTTATAGCAAATAAAATCCAATTAATTATGAGATTTGAAATGAAAAATTGGAAACACATTATCAAATTCATTTTCTTCCAATGAGATGGCAGAAATTAATTTTAATGTGTTTCCCAAAAGGGGAGAAAAAAATTCTGAAAAATATAATCATAGCTCTGGTGAATGATTCTAAGTTTATAAATCTCAACCAATACACTTATTTTTAGCTGGTACTGTATAGAACAGCTGGAATTCCTGATTATATGTTTTTCTAAGGCAAGGCAAGTTTATGTATAAAGCATAGATATTAACTTGGTTATAAAGGCAATATGACCGAAACATATACATTCACTTTTTTTAAAGTGATACATTCCAAGCTACATAAAATTTAATTTCATGTCCTATTCTAAGACTACATCTTTGATATTAAGCTTAGAAGCATAATTGCTCTAATACATAAAAAAGCTTTCATTTTTCCAATACTGCAAAGTATACCATATTTTCAAATACAGAGAATAAAATTTTTTGCACAAAATTTTAAAAGGCAAACTATTAGCCAGCTATAACTACTGTGTTAACTGTATGAAGGAAGGAGTTAACAAAATATGAAACTAAGCATAATTTTTAAACAACTAAGCATAATTATTGCATTTAATAACAACAAACTCCAAGTAGTTCTGAATACTTGTTTTGTGTTAGTAATGTGTATGTTCATATCACAGGTACCAGTTTGATAAACATACTAAGATTCCATAAGCTTTGTTCTTCTTGGTTATTTTTCTTCCCTGTACCCTCCCCAATAGCAGTTGGAGTTAATTTTCTGTTGACTACAAAGTAAAATAATGCTTGTATTTTTTAATCTGAGTCATGTAAAAGATGACTCCTTACTTTCATTTTTAAAAGTTGTACCTAAATTAAAATCTAACATTTATCCATGTGGTTTTTGCTATTAAGTATAGTCTACATTTTAGTAAATCGGTAAGGGGTAATTAACAAAGGCAAATCTGGATTTCATCTGTGTTTTAAATATGATCACAAACTACGTATTTTTTAATGAGACAAAGGAGATGAAGAAGACCGTTCATCTAGGTCCTCTTCACACAACTATTTCGAGAGACAGGCTTAAATAAGGGCGGGCCAGGTCAATAACGCTGGTGCTCTCGTCTTTGCAGAGAAGAGAAAAAAGTAAATCAAAAGTTATTTCCTTCCTATGGTTTCAGCTAGTTTCTTAAGTCTTTTCTTCAGCTCCAACGGAAATTTCTCATAGCACTTTTTACAGACTGGTTTCATATCAAACTCCACAAATTTATTCCTAAAGATAACAATAAAAAAAATTAGTGGAAATATATTTAACATAGACACGTAAATAATGTGAAATAATTTTACTGAAGTAAATGAAGACAGTATATGATGGCATGTTTGCAAACAATTATAATTCTAACCTCAATTCCTGTCATTGTGGTAGATGTAAATAATTCACAGTATTTGAAAAAAAACTGTCCTATAAATTGATCTTATACATCTACCTGTTTAATACAGAATGTATATTACGTTGTAGTCAGTGCTAAGAATTCAGGCAATCTAATGTAAATATAATTTAGGTAAGTAAAGTCAGTTACATTTTAAAGTACTACAAGAATACTTTTAAAGTTACTTAAAGCAAAGAATTGTATTTCTTTAATTTGAACAATCCTCTTTACTGAAGGCAAAATAATCTTACTCTTTTAAATTAGGTAGTGATGAGGTCTCATCTTTCCTGGCATAAAATGGTTTGCCTCCCACCCGACCTACCCCCCAAAAAATCATTTGAAATAAATCAGAATGGGTTATTTTGGTTGGTTGGTTGACAGAAAGGTTGGTAGGGGAGATACAGGAAGGTTCTTAATCACTCAATGAGCAAATGAACCAGACTACCTGTGGTTATATTTTGTACTGAATAGTAGCTGTATGGATAACTCCATTCTTCTTTATAAAAGCTAGAGCAGCCCTAGCCAGTTTGGCTCAGTGATGAGAGCGCTGGCCCACGGGCTAAAGGTTCTCGGGTTCAATTCCAGCCAAGCGCACATGCCTCCGTTGCAGGCTCCATCCCCAAGCCCTGGTCTGGGCACGTGTGGGAGGCAGCCAACTGATGTGTCTCTCTCACATCAATGTTTCTCTCTCTCTCCACCCCCACTTTCATAAATAAATAAATAAATAAATAAATAAATAGAGCTAAAGTAATACACATTATTTATAAAACAGTTCTGGAGAGGTCAGTTTTCAGATGGCCTCCTATCTGCAATAGTGTGCTAATTTGTAAGTATAAGAGCTTATTACTGTTTAAATCAGGGTCTTTCATTGTGAATCAAGTAAATACACAACTTTATAACTTTTTCTGTGAAATTATATTTAAGAAGCATTTGTGGAACAAGTCTGGTAATACATTGTCATTTATGGCAAATGACTAAATCTGCTAAAACCTTTAATTTTAAAGCTCCATATGGGAATTATTTTCTAGCTGGTTTTATGAGATCCTAATGCTGATAGTAATTCGAATGTTACATTTCAATTGTTAGATTTAAACTACTGAATTAAAAATTTATCCCAAACTCTTCTTAGAACAGAAGCTATTAAAACTGCCTTTCTTAAATTGAAGGAAATAAATTATCACTTCTTTTGGAGATACTGCTAAGCAAACCTCCCTTTATTTTTTAAGGCACAGCTTACTGATTTTCACAAAGAGAGGAGGGGAAGGG